AATTTAATAAAATAGAAAAGTTATTTTAAATTATGATAACATTTCACAATATTACTGTTTTACTGTATTTTTGATTAAATAAATGCAAAACATTAAAATCTTAATTAATTATTCCAAATTTTAGGCTGCCAGTGTATATATAATTTATTTAATATCATTTTACTTATGATCATAGTAGGGATGAGAGAGTGAGGAAGACAAAACCCAGGTTCACCCACATCCAAATTTGCATAGTCCTATATTCATCATTAGGTTGTTTCTGGCATCCCTAGTTAGGCTTGGAATGAGTGCTCCTTTACGTCATGCTAGTGGAAATCTTAACTGCAGTTTATTTTCAAGGGATAATTGAGATTAACTTCATCTGTGAGGCATCAAAAGCCAAATGAAAGGAAAGAAGGGAAATCAATGTCCTAACTAAGGGAGTCATGCATTAATAATGAGCAGCCTGTAATGGCATCCTCTGCATCTGTTTCCCGACAAATATGTGCTTGGCCTGCAGTGTTTCGTGAGTGGAGCTTTACTGTGAAAAACGCCAGCACTCGTGATCACACACGTTCACTACAAAAAGTATACTGGGATTCACACTGCATCTGACCTCGTTCTGTACCTGTCACACATTATTAATGCATATAACAGGAATCTCCATAAGCAACACACACATGCATGCATATCAACACACAGGCCCTTTATATTCTTTAAGATTAGTTTTCTTCTTTTAGATTAGTTAATTTAGTTTGCTCTAGGTCAGACAGTGGTCAGACAGCTTAAAGAGATAAGACAGAAACTCTAGAGGAATTTAGCAGAAAGGCAGAGGCAGAGAAGACGCGAGAGAAGAGAAAAACAAGTGAGGCAGGTGAGACCTGAAAGCTGTCTTTGTGCGTTGCCTGGCAGTAGAAACACTGACCTTCTCTGTGAGACGCCGCACACAGAGACAGGTACACACTTTGATGAGAGGAGGGCACTTTCTTGACAAACACCTCCCCTTCAAAACTGTTGCATGCTTCCCGGCAGAGCAAACAAACAAACAAACCAAAAAGAACCTCAGTCTCCCTTCAGATTAACTGGCATCAGATTCAATCTCAGCTCTCACTTTCGATTTAGGCTTCTTAAAGCTGCCTTATTTTTTCACCCCCTTCATCTCCGTTCAACTGGAGCTTGCAGAGGGTAGATGCTATCGTTCCCCAGCTCATGTTTTGCATGTTCACTCCAAACACTGCACCAGTGTGTGTGTGAAAACAGCAGAACCGACTCAGACCACAAGACTAAATACACCAATTTCAAATCAAGCATGGCTTCATACCGGTGCACACAAAGTCTTTTGTGCCCACCACCAGGGTTGGGCACATGATGAGACACTTGATAACGCACCAATGGAGAGCTTTGATGTTGTGCAAATTCTGCAAAACTTACTGGACTATGTTATTTTGTTAACTTCCCCTTTTCAAACTGTGAACTGGCCTTTTACAGTGGGTATAGAAAAGAATCACCCCCTTTAAAATAATCACATTTTGTTGCTTTGCAGCCTGAAATGAAGACGGACACAGTTTTTGTTTTATCCAGCTGTATTTACTCAGTGCAACTTATAACATCCAAGTGAAAGATATAACACCAACATGACAGAAAAAAATTAAAAAGCAAAATCACTGAGTTGGAAAATGGATCACCCCCTCCTAAAAATGACTTGTTATATCAATCAGATGCAGCTAATCACCTTCTCAATGGCACACAAAGCCATTTGACTTTCAACTGTGATCAGCTGTGGTCATTTTGATTAGCTCATGAAATTTAGCATGAAAAGAGCTTTCCTGGAGCATTTCAGTCCTTGGTAGTGCAACTGAAGCAAACAATCAATTATGGGTGGCAAGGCACTGTCAAAAGATCTCCGTGATAAAGTTGTGGACAGGCACAAGTCAGGAGATTGATTCCAATCATTTTCAAAGGCTTTATTTGATTGGCTTAAATACATACAAATATTTTATTGTACTGTACATGAGTTTATTGTCTGGTAGTCATGTTCGTGTTTTTTAAGCACAATGCACCACTTTTTAAAAAATGCCTGAAATATGGCCCTTCACACTGTAATGCACTGGCATACATGATGCATTGCTTGCTCACTAATGTTTTCATGTGTTTGAGGATAGAACAAGAGTGTGTACATGGCAGTGCTGATATGAATGAACAGAAGGCTGTGTACTGAAGTGTGTTGTTAATATCTCTGCTAGGGTAACGCAGAGGGGATTCACTGAGCCATGCAGAGAGAAGGACTACCAAGAGAGAAGAAATTGCACTGCATCACTTCCAGTGGATGACAGCGGAGTTCACACGCACTTCTGTCGCATGGGCTTAACGTCCTGTGAACAGACAACTCGGAAGCAGTGAGACGGGAGAGAAAGAGCGCATCCGTGTCTCTGGTTTTCACTGATGGACAAGTGGACATTGGGGCTATGCTGGAGCTTCGGCCCCTGTTGTCCATCCCGTCTCCCCCCTGCTGAAGCTCCCGGCACAGCCCTGGAGCACAGAGGGTGAGAGAGACGGCCTCATGCAGGCACGCAAGAAGTACGTGCTTCTGGGCCTGTGCATGTGCTGTTGGCTGTTGCTCTATTACTGGGGCGGCTTGCAGGAACGGCTCCTGGGTCTCATCACCCACAAGAGGGGGGAGGCGGCACGGCCCTGGCCCAACTGGTTGGATCGGGACCTGCTCCCGGGTTATGCAGACCAGGCCGAGCTACAAAATGGTGGGGGTTCAGGTGACTCACCAAGGCAGCGGCGGCAGTCGTGGGCCGGAATCTACAAGGACAGTCGCTGCAGGATGGACACCTGCTTTGACTTTGCCCGATGTCAAAGGCAGAGCGGCTTTCGGGTCTACATCTATCCACCAGAGAAGGGCGAGCGCGTGTCCGAGAGTTACCGCAAGATCCTCACTTCAGTCACGGAGTCGCGGTATTACACGTCAGACCCTCGAGAGGCATGTCTGTTCGTGCTGGGCATCGACACGCTGGACAGGGACCAGTTGTCGACACAGTTTGTGCCCAACGTGGACGAGCGGATTCGAGGTTACCCGCTCTGGAACGACGGGCGAAATCACGTCATCTTCAACCTTTATTCCGGAACCTGGCCCAACTACACCGAGGACTTGGGCTTTAATGTGGGCCAGGCCATCCTGGCCAAAGCAAGCCTGAATACGGAACACTTCCGACCGGGCTTTGACATTTCCATCCCTTTGTTCTCTAAAGAACACCCCCGGAAGGGTGGAGAGATGGGCTGGTTAGTTCGCAACACCGTCCCGCCAAGGCGTAAATACTTGTTGATGTTTAAAGGTAAACGTTACTTGACGGGCATCGGCTCAGACACTCGCAATGCTTTGCATCACATCCACAACGGCAAGGACATCGTCTCCCTAACAACATGTCGCCACGGCAAGGACTGGGAGAAGCATAAGGATGCACGGTGTGACCATGACAACCAGGAGTATGAGAGGTAAGTCATGTAAATGAGCCAACGGGGAGTTTCTGTACTTAATAGCATGAGGTTTTAAGAGGAATTATGGCCGTTATGAGATCAGTTTCAGTTTCAGTGCCTGAATGGAGTTTGTCAGTGACACCCTGGGCTATGAACTCCGGTTCCTGTGTGTTAAATACAAGAAGCAGCTATCAGTTACCGTGGGGTGTGGGTGACTTATGTAATACACGGCAAAGTGTCAAGAGTGAATAATGCTGAAAATGTATCAAGTGTTCTCTTGAGAATGACATATACGGGGTATTGTACGTTATAAATGTGATTAAAGAAACTTTGACTTGCTGATGTTAGTGTAACTATTAGTTTTCAGCATTGCTTATTCAAAAAACATGAGCAGAATGAATGCGACAAGTGATCCTTCGCTAAGCCCCGCCTCCCTAGGTTCCTGTTGCTTACTCAGACAAGCTTTACTGAACATCAAATATGAATGAACTGAAGATTTCCATGATTGTATTTTTTTAAATTACATGTCACAATATTTATTTAAAGATAAAAAAGTAAAAAATACTGCTTGTATCCTCTCAACTTGGTATTTGTTTACCATTATATGATATATGTGATCATATTTAAATCATATTTTATCATATAAAAAAAAAAATTGCAAATACATTTTAATTGAATCTAAAATGTATTGTTTGCATCTAAAACTAAACATGCAGTTCTTTTATAGACTTACATTAGAAAAGAGCAAAAGTAAGGCAGGATTAGTCCGTGACATTTTAAGGCGGGTCTTGGCTAAGATTAATTTACACAAATATTTTACTTACAATTTACACTGAAATGTGTTCTGCTCACATTTAATGCGTGAGGCCCATTGTGCTTATATGAATGGAGTCATGTGACACAAAAAAACAATAAATGACTGTATATTTATGGTGAATAGTACAGTCATATCTCAAGTTATTGTGCACAGCTGTTCTGTGAATCAAACCATAAAGCTTTAAGCATTTTTTTATGCATTTCTAAATTGTTTTGTAACGTATGCATGACCCATCAGAATTAAACAGATTTAGGTAGAGAGATACTGTAGAAGAAATATGGGAAAGGAAGGGAGGAGAACTAATACAGGGCCACAAAACTACCACAGGGAATGTTTATCAAATCCACTGTGGGTCTTAAAGGAGCAGACATGGCCAAGAAGAAACCGAAGAAATAGTCTCAAACTGTTGAACAGTGCTTCAGACTTGTTTGCTTTTGGTTTGTGGTGGGGACAGAGCTCCACTCAGCACTGGATGAATGTGTTCATTTATTCCATGAGATAGGTTGGGGGGCTCTCCCACCCAGGAACAAACTTAGCCGACTTGTTAGCAGTATCGGTGTTAGTTGGTCCATGATCCATGTAAGGAAGAAAAACATTTATGAAATACTTTATTTCTTCTGGAATGAACATGGTGGCTTGCTTCGTGGAGGTCTAAGCAGGAAAAGTGTGTTGTATGCACTGGCAGGGGGGACTGTGACTGCTGAGGAGTTGGTGGAGGAGTGGGCGGTATGACTAAAATCTTATGGCGGTTTAAGAGTACAGTATATATTATGATAATGATCATTTTAGCAGGAAAACTCAACCTGAAAATGTTTTGTATGTTACATAAAATGTATTCTTGTCTTTTAATTTTTCATTTAGTAAAATAAATACTCTACCATAAAAGGGATAACATGAACAGATTTCATGTCATTTTTTGTTATTTATTTTATTAAAAAAATGTATCAATTGTTTTATTTTCTAAATGTATAAAATTAAACTTATTTTTTACTTTTTTGTTTTATATTATTCATTTTAACTAGATGAACATGAACCAAAAGCTAACAAATAATTGATAAGTCTGGAATCAGTACAGAAACGGCTTTAACATTGTGATATTTGAGAAATAACTTTTAACTTAATAAATATGAGCTGGAATGTGCTGAGCTGCACACCTGAGATCAGTTGAAGTCTATGTTAATATGGTGAATTGTATTGACAAATCTAGTGCCCGATTCAAAAGTTTAGGGTGAGTCTATATTTATTTAAAACCATAAAAACCTTAATATTGTTCAATTATATTACATTTCAAAATAGCTGTTTTCTATTTTAATATATTTTAAAATGTAATTTATTCCTTTGATGGCAAAGCTGAATTTTCAGCATCATTACCCCATTCTTCAGTATGACATGGTTCTTCAGAAATCATTATAATATGCTGATTTGCTGCTCAAGAAACATTTATTAATATTATGTTCAATGTTAAAAACAGTTGTGCTTCTTTATGTTTTTGTGGAAACCATGATACATTTTTTTTCAGTATGTTTTGATGAATAAAAAGTTCAAAAGTAACAGTATTTATCTGAAACAGAGACCTTTTGTACTATTATGAATGTCTTTAATGTCACTTTAGACCCATTCATTGCATCCTTCCTGAATAAAAGTATTAATTCACAAATTTCTTATTGACTTTTAAACAGTAGTGTATATATATACTTAAATGATATAGCTAATGGTTGACACATTTCTACCGTTCATACCGCCCAGCCCTTTGTTGTAGTTTTAAGATTGTTGGACACAGAATGTCACAAACTTGAGGGAAAATGGGAAGACAAGCAGCGACACAGCGAATTGGGTCTCTCTCTTATTTCACTGCTGTGGTACCGCTAGGAAGCTAAGGTGCCAAACTCAGAAACAGAACTTAGGAGGTTCTCTCGGGTTAATGATCACCAGCATCTGCTACTTCCACAGATTAACCTGAAGGCACACCGAGCACCCTACTGAACTCTTGCCCAGGGTGGAGAGATAGGGATGAACCTGGGGATGCTTCAGGAATGAGACAGAGGAACTTACTGCAACCAAATGGTCTACATTCATTCACTTTTCAGGGCTCTTTAAAAAAAGGGGGTTGAGGGGGGACTTGCATTGTACTGGGAATGTAAATGAGAAGGAGTGAGAGAGAGCTTGTGGGAAGAAAAATAGGGCAAGCTGTTTCGGGACAGTTTTGGGACACACAGACGGAGGATTATACTGCAATACTGATTATACTCTCTTCAATACGACCGTAGACTTCTGGGAAAGCAGAATGCGGTTGGATGTGTGTGTGTGTGTGTGTGTGTGTGTGTGAGAGAGTCTGAGGGTGTAATAGTAAAATGCGTTACCTTTCTTGACAGCTAACAAGGTCTCCATGACTACACTCCTACCATGTGCAAGACGTTCATACAGAAGAGGTCATTATTCTCGATTCTCAAGGAGAAAAGAAGAAGAATGCACTGCCTTTTTACATCTGCCATTGAAAATAAAACACAACTAAAGGAAAACACACACTCCAGGCGTAATAGTACTATTTTTAGTGAATTATCGCCTTGGAAGTGAATGTAAATGTTCACAACTGCGCTTAATGAACTTAATAAGGACCTTAACAGCGGCCTCTCATTCGTTCCGTGACCTTGTGTGTGTGTATTTGCGTACAATCGTTGGCAGGATGCAATAAGAAATGCTACACCCCACTGTAATTAGGGGGATATGAAATTGTACCCCTAGAAAGAGTGTGGTTTGTGTGGCTCGTGCACAAGCCAGCACAAACTAGGTTTATTTAGAACAAATAAAGAGAGAGGGAGAGGGCAGTCCATCTTTCTCTCTTGTCTTTTGTGTGCTCTGTTTTTTTCCAAGTTCTGTGTTTTTCTCTCACCGGGATTCTACTTTTAGGGATGCTAATTTGCTCTTCATGCATGGTCACTTTTTTCAGTCCAGCATACACCTCAGCCACATAGACATCACATGCATACTTATCAGTGCGCTAAACATGTTCACTCCTCTTCATAACCAGGATAAAATCATGAAGGGTAAAGGCCATGACCTACAATTCCCAGGATTTATGGATAAAATATTACATCAGACCACTCAACCTTAAATATACAGTGGTGTGAAAAAGTGTTGGCCCCCTTCCTGATTTCTTATTTTTTTGCATGTTTGTCACACTTTAATGTTTCAGATCATGAAACAAATTTAAATATTAGTCAAACATCAAAGTGAATGATATAACACCAACATGTCATAAGAAAAATTTAAAAAACAGAATCACTGAGTTGGAAAAGGGATTACTTCCTTGTGTCAGTATTTTGTTGAACCACCTTTTGCTTTAATTATAGCCTTTAGTTTGTTGGGATTTGTCTCTACTAACTTTGCACATCTAGACTTTGCAATATTTGCCCACAAGTCATTTCACAGATTTTCAATGGGGTTTAAGTCTGGGCTCTGACTAGACCATGCAAGGACATCTTTGTATCCTTTAACCACTGTGTGGTCAGTTTTTCTGTGTGCTTTGGACAAAAACTGTGTCCGTCTTGATTTCAGGCTGCAAAGCAACAAAATGTGATCATTTTTAAGGGGGTGATTCTTTTCAATGCCCACTGTAAATAGATAAATACACACACACACACACACACACACACACACACACACAAATACCTCTTCATTTTAAGATTTTATCAGCACATGCACTCCAATTCATTCCATGAACTGAGCTACAGGAACATCTCTATTCGATGTCGCCTACGCATTTTGGTATCTCACAGAATGTACTGCAGACTATTTCAAGCATAGTTGCTCGTTGATACTGTAATGTGTGGTGTTGTGTTAAACTAGGACATTGAGGGCTGTCAAACAGGAATCAAATTCTGCACCCGGTAGGCAGCTGTATACCTGTACATATCAACAATCGAACTGTTAATCTGACTCCATCGATGTTCCTGGTGTGGAGACAGCCAAAGTTCTTCAAAGTGTAAGACATCCTGCCACATCTATTATATATTATTTTAAAACCTGGTGAAATGTAGGGTTTACAAGCAGTCAAAAATATCACATTTAACTGCATGCTAGACAATGGACTCATTCATTAGACCACAGAAGAATGCTGATTCCCAAAAGACCCATTACCAATATAAGACATATCAGTCACATACGTAAAAATGTACATTGTATATAGAGATAAATGTCATTA